AAATGCCTTGATGTTGAACTGCTGAGCAAAGTCTGCCAGACCTGCCAAAGACATGAGACCAATAATGATCTCCAAGCAGAGCAGGAGTGGCAGATAAACCATGCCCCAAAATGCAAAGCAAATTTTAAAGGCTCAGCTCCATCAATGGAAACAGAAGGAGTGAAGCGAATCTTTGAGAGAAGTGAGGAAAAACACAAATTGCGTTACACTGAATATTATGGGGATGGAGATAGCAAGGGTTTCGATGGAGTACAGAAGACTTACATAGACAAAGGACTTAAAGTTGTAAAGAAAGAATGTGTTGGACATGTCCAGAAGCGTGTGAGGACAGCTTTAAGAAAACAAAAGAAAGAGAACAAAGGTATGGGAGGTAAAGGAAAGCTGACCGATAGAATGATAGACAGGCTGCAAAATTATTATGGGATTGCCATAAGAAGCAATGTTGGCAATCTATCGGAAATGAAGAAGGCAATTTATGCCAGCCACATACATTGTGTGTCTTCAAAGGATTGCAGTTTACATTGTTATTGTCCTGAAGGAGCAGACAGCTGGTGTCGCTTCAACAGAGACATTGCAAATGGTACAAAGTTGTTCAAACCAGGTCCTGGGCTGCCTGTTGAAATCATTGCTCAGCTTAAGCCAATTTACTTGAGGCTTAGTGAGGATGCTCTGCTGACCAGGTGCTTGGATGGAAAGACCCAGAATCAAAATGAAGCCATAAATGGGATGATATGGGACCGAGTGCCAAAAGATGTGTTTGTGGGAGCTGACACTTTAAAGCTTGGAGTGAATGATGCTGTTTCCCACTTCAATATTGGAAGCCCAGCAGCATTAAATACACTCACAAACAGTGGAATTGAACCTGGGGAGTTCTGTCTTGAGGAAATGAAAAGAAGTGACAAACTGAGGTTTGGCAAAGCAATTTACAAAGAAAGAGATACCTCTAAGCGAAAAAGAAAGTTGCTTCGAGCCCATCAAAAACAAAAAGGGGATCGAGCTCAAGAAACAAAAGGAGTGACCTATGCCTCAGGATCCTTCTGAACACTTATTTAATGCTATCAAGCAAAACTGTCTGAAAAAAGTTTAATAGAGGTTATTTCATTAAAAATGAGAAAAACATTATCTCATTAAATTATGTCTCAACTTTTGAACCATTTTTCTCAAATTATGAAAATTACCAAATTGCGACACTTCCAAGCAGGATATCTCTGTGGGGTTTTAACCAATTGACTTGAAACTTTCAGCATTATTTCCTGATGTTATTCCCTTGGTGACAAACCTCAAAAAAATTGGGAATGTTTAACACTGTACTTGCAGTAAAAATGTTTTTGAAGTATCTGTCATTGCTTTCCCTTTTTCATAGGAAAAATTATCAAAGCAATCATAGTTTCCTTATTTTTTGAGGTTTAACACCTGGGTAATTTATTTTGAAATAGAATAAAGCTAATTTTACTTTTCTGTGACCATTCTAAACGGAGTTATGCTGCTTATAATAGACCCACATTTTTCACCAGTGGGGGGCTGGTTAATCATTAACCATTAACATTCACAAAGTGAAAACAGTCATTTTGGAGTCAGGAAGTGACAATCTATAAGATGGTGTAAAAAGATATCTTCAAAGATAGTTAATAAAAAATTTCATTTTTAGGGCAAAGACCACCTTAAGGGAGAAGAGCCAAGTTGGCTTGTCTCCAAAAGAGAAGTGAGGTTTGATGCTGTTTCTGAGGAAGTCAAAAGACAAGTCTATGATTTCTGGACAAATCAAGCAAGTAGTCCAACAGGAGACAAGAAAGATTTTGCTCATTATCGTACAGGGAAGAGCCAGTACACAGACCATGCAAAGCACATACTGGAAAAGTCCCAGACAGAAGCCTTCTTGGAATTCCAGGCCCTACACCCCAATGTCAAAATAAAGCAGAGGAAGTTTGAGTCACTTAAACCATTCTTCATGAAAGCTGCCAAAGAACGTGATAGAAAGTCCTGCCTTTGTTGGAAACATGAAGAGATCAAGATCCTCTTTGGAGATTGCATGAAATTCCACAAGGCTGTTTTAAAAAACAAAGATCAGGATGAAGCTGTTTGTGTTCCTGTCACAATAACAGAGGCTGCCGAAACGACCCTATGCCCCAAAGCAGAAGAAGATGCACACCATAAAATGGCATGTTTAGAAAGAGAATGTGACCAGTGTGGTGTCCATTTGATGGAACTACTTCCCGAAGAAGAATCCAATGAGGGAGTGGTTATCTGGAGATGGTATGAATATGTCTCAACTGGAAAGTTTTTGGCGAATGGTCAGGAGAAGAAGAAACTTGCCCTTGTCACTAAGGAGACCCCACCATCAAAAATGTTTGGATACTTAAAGAATCATCTTAAAGACTATCCCTTACACTCCTTTATGGCCAAGTGGCAACGAGAACAACTCGACAGTCTCCTTGAGCATTTACCACTGGATCATGCAGTCGCTATCCATGACTACTCAGAGGGATATACCTGCAGGTCTCAAGATGAAACACAGTCTGAGTACTTTGATGTGGCAAAGGTTTCCCTGCATGTCACCATTCTCTACTGCCACTCTACAGAAAAGAATGATGGCATTGAAAGTACAGAGGAGAACCCGGAGGTCGTAAAGGAGCATGTGTTTGTCATTTCTGATGATGTTATTCAAGATAACAACTCAGTTCATAGGGTGCAGGAACTTTTGAACACATATCTCACAAAGGATCTTGGTCAACAGATCCCAGTTATACACAAGTTCACTGATAGTTGTGCAGCCCAATATAAATCCCTCCATTGCCTACGAGATTTGTCTTGTTGTGTAGCAGATTTTGGTTACAAAATCCAGTGTAATTTCTTTGAAACCTCGCATGCCAAAGGTGAACAGGATGCTGCTGGGTCTCATGTTCAGCAGAAAGTGAGCCAGGCAGTCCTGCGTCGATCAGCTGCAATCAAAAGTGCAAAGGACATCCATGCGTACCTCAGTGACAGTTTCACCTTGCCATCAGCCTCAAGCTACTTATCCAGAACAAAGTCCATAAACTTGAAGAAGCGCCTTTTTTATGTCCCTGCAACTGTGAAGATTCAGTAGACAGGAACAGGCCTGACCAAAAATTTAAAGAAGTGAAGGGCATTTGAAAAATCCATGCTGTAAAATGCACTACAGAACAGTGCAAGGTTTTTAAACGAGATCGATCCTGCTATTGCCTTAACTGCTTGCTGGAAACTGGCAACCAATGTAAAATTCAGAGTGGGTAGATGACTGGCAGGAGCTCAATATTGAAAGAGAAGCATCACCAGCAACCACCAGGAATGCACAAGACAACAATGTGGTAGTGACAACAGACACAGCTGTTAAAATAGCAGACCTAGCAATAGAGCGGAGTGTGGTTGCCGTAGCAGCTGATGATGATGCAAGTTATGACTATTATCTTCTGAGAGTGAAGAGTAACGGAGTCGAAGAACTGGCAGATAACACCGCTGATGACTATGGCAGCATTTACACTGCAGGACAGGAAGTGCTTAGAGGACACTTCTTTCTCCGGGACAACCTAATTGACATGACTTACAAACTCGATGAACGAAAAGTTGCAATTGTTCATGCAGCGACTGTAAGGCACATCTGTTCTGACCTTCATGTTGTAATGAGGGGGAGAAAGTCAGTTTTTAAAGTACCAGTTGATCTGAATGAGAAAATATTAGCTTCCATGTAATGCAAAATACTTGTGTGAAGGTCAAGATATTTCACTTCTACTTTTTACTTGTACCAGTGAAAAAAAACTTTTGAAAAATTGATCATTTATATAAAGACCACACCCACTAGGGATTATGGGTGAATTAAAAATTCAGTTAAACTAGGCGAAAATGTAATATTTTGCCAAAAAAATTGTAGATCATTAAGTTTGAGCATAAAATAAAGCTAAAGAAGTGATTTTGCCCCCAATTAGAAAATTTTAATTTTTTCGGGCTCGTTACATGAATGGGTATGGTGATCGTGCTACTGATATATAGACGCAAGAACTTGTTGGAAATTCATGGCGTCCCCGAAGATTTGTATACTTCTACAGAAGATGTGGTCATCAAGTTGGGTGAGGTGTTAAATGTTCTGATCCAGAGATGATATCGACATCTCACATAAATTATACAGTGGAAAGAACAAACCAAAGAATATAATCGTAAAGTTTATCAGCCA